ATAATAATAATAATAATAATAATAATAATAATAATAATAATAATAATGATAATAGTAATAGTAATAAAAATAATAATAATAAAAAAAAAAATTAAATACAATGATATAATATAATATTAACATCGAATATCTAGACAATCGTTTCCCAATAAATTTTTACAATGGTAATTATAATATATTACCTATTATACTTGAAATATAACAGTATATTTAAAATACATTTTTGTTTCAATTTGTCGATGACTTTTTTTATAATTTTTCTTTTTTTTTTTCGTTGAGCAACTTAATACAAATAATAAACATATTACCTTTCGGGGAACAGCATGTAAATTAGCGTTAAAATCGTAACTTACTAAAAAAAAAAAAAAAAAAAACATACCACACGAAAAAAACTGAACAGATATATGCGTATAACATAAACTTAACACCAAAAGGAACACAATAAATAAAAAAAAAAAAAAATAATAAAAATCAAATGTTTAAATTTAAAAACATAATTGATATCAGTGTAACAATAGAAACATATTAAATATTCGGTCTGTATGAGTATGTGTGTATGTGTGTAAAACTGAAAACCTTTTTCATTTTTATCGTATGTATGTCTATTATTATTATTATTATTAATAAACTGTAAGACTAAATATTTCAAACTACGTTTATAATGTATATTTCATTAAAATAAAAAAAAACACTGTCTAAATCCTGTTACTATAAAATACTGTTATTACTGTAATATTATTGAAAATGTAATATTGTGTATAGTAGTGAAAAATGTCATATTGTGTTGTAACTATTGTAACATAAAAATAGTCAGCAAAAAACGGAAAGCTAAATAATAACAATAAAACTGCGCCCTTGTAAATCATTAGTTGCAATATTGTTAAAGAGCTGATTAGCTAAAACGGCAAAACCAAAATTCAAATGGTTTCATCTTTAAAGATAAATGAAAAAACGGAAACGTATGCATAAACAAATAGCGGGTGAAAAACAAACAATAATAATGAAAATTACGGGTATTACAAATCAAGTCAAAACCATAGATGGAAATAATTTAATAAATAAAACGAGTACCTAATCTGTGTAGGAAGAAAAAAAGAGACTAACAAACGAAAGAAAAAAATAATAATAATAATAACGAAGGAAATCGTATTGTGCGTACTGCACGATATCCATCATCAATAAACAATAATAAAAATAATATGGTTAACTCGCTTAGTGATAATGTAATAATGAGGTATTATACAAAAACACAATCGAAAGGAGAGAAAAACTTAATAAAAAAAAAAAAATAATAATAATAATAAAAAACCATTGAACCGTTTAAATTATCGCAAACCGTATATTTGTATTGTTATCAATTATTGTTATATGATTATTATTATTATTGTAATGATTATTTCGTTTAAACGGACTAAAAGTATTCTACGAACTATTTTATTTTTTGTATTACACCTATGAACTAAATAATATCCAACGGATTAACTATAATTATCAATAGTAATTAAATAAATAAATAGGTAGACAAACAAAAGAAAAAAATACAGATTCGACGAATCTGCGCGTCTGGGTATATATATATATATATTTGTTTTATTTAATTTTTTATTTTTTTAATATTGTTATATTATTGTTGGTCCATTGCGCATCGGGACCCGCACCGGACGTGATCTCGACGGAGAAAATGACGACGCGGCCGCGACTCGAATACAGCGAATCGGCGAGTTTGAAATACATACGATTTACTATGTATATTCGATCTCGAGCAAGTCGTACGGACTTACCGATGGCTGAGAACGGTTTTTCGTGAACGATCACGGGGGCGAACTGCGCGAAGTCGTTACGCGCGTCGGACGACGGCCGGGCTGATCCGAATTCAGATGACTTAGAGATAGTGAAAACGTCGACAACATTTCGACCAGACTGCGATGATTTTTATTCGACTACTTTGCAATGGCTTGTGTGTGTGTGTGGCCGGAAACTTTCCGGTTTGGGCTATTGTACGATATACGTATATTTGTACATCGATAATGTATTATAACGATGTGCGTGGATTGCGCGACGACGCCGCGCAATGACATTCACTCGGACCTAATCCCTGAAATGTGTACTGAAATCGGCGAGAGAAATTATTATAATATCTGTGTGGAGCGTACGCGTACGTGCGCGTATTTGGGCTATTGATTACGTATATTACTATATTTTGCATGTGTATGTGTGTGTGTGTGTGTGTGTGTGTGTGTGTGTAATACGCGATTTGCTTAAGTCCGTCTCGCAAGCCGATTGCTTGAACTCGAACACGTATTACGTAGGAGAAATGGCGCAAAACTTGATGCACATTATTATTGCGTTCACGAACAGCAATCGCGTATTACGTGTTGTCTATGGAGCGTTATTGCGTATAACGTTTAACGTGTCATCCGTGTCAAATGGTACCGAAGGGATATAAAGAAACGCCTGTGTGTGTGTGTGTGTGTGTGTGTGTATGTTGTCCTAATCGTGTACTCGCGTACTGTCACACTACTATCGGGTTATTGTTGTGTATGTACATATACCGCAGCTCGTTCGTCTCGGAAAACTGAACGAAAAGAGAATGTGTATTTTTCTTTTATTTTATTGCACGAGATTGGTTTGATTGGCACGTTGACGGGTAAAAACAAAAAACGTAAAAAACGTAAAAAGAAATAAAAAGAAACAACAAAAAACGTTAATAAATGTAAGCGAATCATACAAAACTTTACGTCTCCTGTTCCTGTCTGAGAGGGTTGTTCGCGAATAAAGAGTAAAAGTGCACGTGTTGATATTATTGTACTGTTACGCGTGTACCGCGTGGTATGGTGAGAGAAGGAAAAACGATATTTCGGAAAGAAAAAATACGGTATGAGAACACGACAGCCGCTGTTTGTGCTTGCACGTTTCGTGTAAACTACACGTAAGTGTATATGATACCATAACATTGTTATGCGCGTGTGCTGTATACGGTCGTATAAGGGACGAGCACCTCCTGGTCGCGAACGCCGTACCGAAGGCAGGAAGGAAGTATTCGTTTTTTTACTGCTTTCGTATAGTTTCGTTTTTCGTGATAAGTGTTATTATATGTACAGGGCCTATACGGTTGGATTATTCAGAAGAGTTATATTAAGAGTAATATTTATATACTTTTTCATTGTATTTACAAATCGGTTAAGGAGAATATATGTTCATCTAATTGTATTGTTATTATTATTATTATATGTACAGGATTGCGCGCTCTGTCGTGTTTTCGTGAAAAACTTAATGTCAAGGAAGAGAAATGTGTAATTACTGTGAGAATATGATTTTAGAAATATGTATTTACAGGTTCGCCTCTCAACACAGTGTTCGATCGTTATTGAAGTTATGCGGAACATTTCAACGGGCACGGGACTGATAAGAGTTTGTTCGTGCATAGTCGTTGGCATGTTATTTTGGCGTAACTATCGTTTTTTTTTTTTTTTTTACTTTCTTTTCTAGATATTAAGTTCATGAGACAAGTTACTTAGAAAAAGGAAATCGTATACAAAACCATGATCGGTATATAACATGGATCTGTTGACAAGTGAAGTGATTGCGATAATTTTACTTGAAAATTAACAATTTTAACCGAATAAAATTAAATTGCAAAATCCCCTTAACGAAAATTAAAACAAAAATCAATAAAAATAACAGTAAAAATGGTTTGAATCTTTGTATAAGTAAACAATAATATTTCCGGTACCTAAATGTTTCTTTACTTAATATTATGTTAGTCAAATCTCTCGCAGAGCGATCCGTAAAAATAATTTTAATCAATTTAGATGCGTTAAGTTTTTTTTTTCTTTTTTACAACTCACGTAAAAAAAAACCATTAATATTATTTTCATAACTGTACAACAAAAATTTGCTAAACGACGATTTTAAAAATTGGTTAATATTTAAAATGGCAATTATACATTTATATTTATACACACATGTATTTATATATATATTATATAGGTATATGCTTATAGGTTTATTGGTAATATATACAGACTATTTACAGAAGCGATACACGACGTGGTCGCTGGCCCGTACTTAGCGTGTACGCGCGAGACGACCACGGACAAGTGTATCAGCGTGAGACATTTGTGTTGGTAAAAAATTAATTTTACCATTTTAATATTATACATGCATAAATTAACGTATATGTGTATCTAGTAATTAGTATAATAGTATATTTATAGCTATATGTAATAAATAAATAAATTAATATATATATATATATATATATATATATATTTATAATAATCGTGTGCGCGCGCAGCTGGTCCACCGTTGAACCGTTTTATGCGTGTACGGGATGATGAGGAGGATGAGAAGGTTATAGCGGTGATAGTAGACTGCAGATGACGACGGTATACCGTAATGTAATAATATTAGTAGTATTAGTGGTGGTAGTAACGGTGCAAGAGGCTGGTGGGACGAGTATGGGTGTATGAACGCCTGACCGTGTCAATAATAACTAAACCCTCATGGGTTGATGTGGCCCTGTTGGGTGTTACCGAAAGTGAAGCCCAACGCCCTGGGGTCGCCGCCGTGCAGCCGAAGCGCCTGTTCCAGCCGTTGCTCCTGGAGCCTAAGCGCCTCGGACAGGTCAGGCGACACCTGGCCCTGGTGGTGGTATGGGTTCTGTCCGTTCATCAGTTGTCCCTGCGCCATCGCGTTGTAGTTGATCGCCGCGTTCTGCTGCGACTGGAGCGCGGCGTTCTGTTGCTGCGCAGTCCCCGGCAGCCGATTCTGTTCGGCCGTTTGCTGCTGCTGCTGTTGCTGTTGCTGTTGCTGTTGCTGCTGCTGCTGTTGCTGCTGCTGCTGTTGCTGTTGCTGTTGCTGCTGCTGCTGTTGTTGCTGGCTCGATGAAGCGGCTACGGCCTGCGTGACGGCCAACCGAAGCGCTGCTTCGGCCTGTGACCTGAGTATGGCCTCTTGCATGCGCAACGTCGGTGAATTCTGATCGTGGTTGGACTGCTGATGGTGGTGCAGCATCGACTGATGGCCGGTTTGCTGGTGGTGGCTGCCCAGGCCGTCCACCATGGACGACATGGACGCTCGGACGGCCGCGTTCATGGCCATCTGGACTGCCGACTGCATCGAGTTCACCGACGAGTTTGAACCGGAACCGCTGTTGAGAAAAAAAAACCATCGACGGATCAATACAACGTTTTCTTCGGAACCCGCTATTTTTTCGCTGACGTATCAGTACCCGTGTCGGACTCAGACTCCAAAAACTTCCGCGGTCCGTCCCAAAAACGAATAAAAAGTAACGTACCTGGAAGTGGTGACCAACGGGTTCTGGTGCATGGCGTTCGACTGGGTGATGCGCATGGCTGCGGCCGCGAGATTGGCCGCGGCCGCTTGCACCACGGACGCGGGAGTCGGGGGAGCTGACCGCGGCGAGTGCGAAGGTGACGGTGGGTTCTGTTGCTGCTGCTGTTGCTGCTGTTGCTGTTGCTGCTGCTGTTGCTGCGCCTGCGTAACGGCCGCGTGCGCCTGCTGCTGGCTCATGAACAACGCCGCGGCTCTCTGCAGGTCGTTGGCGTTGTACTGCGGTTGCTGGTTCATATACTGGTGTCCACCGTTACCGCCGACTGCGTTACGCGAGGACACGTGCGTTAGCGACGTAATTATTATTCTTATTTATATGAATCTATGTGTCTACTCACTCATGCCTCCGGTTCTGGCCGCCATTAGCTCAGCCAACTTAATGGCCGTCGGGTTGTTGTTGTTGTTGTTGTTGTTGTTCGTGGTCGTATTGTTATTGTTGTGATGCAACACCAACGGGATCTGGTTGTCGGCCGGTGACACGGATAGACGACCACCTGTGGGAACGACTACGTTACCGCCGCCACCGGCTGCCGCAGCGGCGGCCGCAGCCGCGGCCACCGCGGCGACAACTGAGTTGTTCGGACCAGTACCCACGGAACCGGTGATGGAACCGCCTCCGCTGGGACCGTCCACTTCGCCGTTGTTGGACGAAGACGAGTCCGAGTGGACGGAATGCGGCGAAGCAGGACCACCCATGCTGTTGGTGGCCGTTACGGCGGCCAAGAAGTTCTCGCGTTCCCTGCGCTCTGCGGCGGCTCGGCTCAGCACATACTGCGCGGCAAACTGATGTTTGGGATCCATACGCATATGTTCCATGTGCGTTAGAAGACCTACGGATATGAACAACAGTTGTATAACATGTAATAATGTATTACGCGCGCGCAGTCGGTATTCTGTTGAGTTTAAAAGTGTAACATTTGTAATTTTATAGTAAACTGATTTGTAAAAATATTACAAATGTACGCCCAGGTTAGACCGGGTTCTGGATTGTAGTAGTCACCTTTAGAATCCACACGTACGTGTTGTCAATTGACAATAACGTGTTCATCGAATATTTTATTATGAAAAACGAAATATAAAAACACTCTAGGATTACAGGGGTTCGGTTTGTGATTGTTACTACGATTATTGACCCCAATTGTTTTCTTATCGATATTACCCCATATGAAATATTACTAAATAATCACTATGACTTAAATCTTGATTATTCGACGAAAAAAAGTTGTTCTTTATGGCGTTTTCTTCGTGTGCAAACCGTTAAAAAACAATGTCTTTTATACAAAGTTACTTGTATCATACAAATCTAGTTTCGATAAACGTCCCTTTGTAATTTTTCACATAAATATGTTCTCCTCATGTGTAATATCATGAAACATAATAAATTGATAATAAAACAAAGTGACGTTTCATGAATTTTTTTTACCGCATAATTAATAAGACTTAAAACCGAGCAAACCATGATATTTACTATTAATCATTAGTTTTTAACATAAATGTACATTAAATTTTACTAATATGCGCCTAATAACCAGCGCACTGGAGTCATCCCATAAATTGACTGTCATCGATTTATTATTTCATTTACGTTTTAGCAGGTGATCTTTTCTGTCTTTGTTAGTTATAGTCACGATATTTATACGAACTATACCGTAAATTAGACATTATCGTGAATATAACATGTGGTGAAAATATAGTAATGGAGTGTTCAAACGGGCATGTACCAGTTGCCCTCACATGTTAATATATACATGATTACAATATATAGCCTGTAAAATAGGGGAGGTAAATATACAAATTATAATTAAAATTATTTATAAAAATAATGTAAGATAGTGTAAAATGATAAAATCAAATTTTGATATTTGCAATTATATATGATATTGTATTTTGTAATAAATAATAAATAAAATATATTATACAAATAGTATGGATAAAATGAAAATTGTAATAATTGAATAATAACCTTCTACTAGGTGCAAAACCAGGATTTTACAAAAACGTAAATTTAGACGCGTCTAAGTGGATAGCCGATTTATAACGATATTAACGACAATTATATTACGTTTTATCGGAATACACTAGTTATTATCATTTATTAAACCTATCTTTATTAGTAGTTTTTTTTTGTTAGACATTATTATATGATACGATGCATACCTATATATATATATATGCTTTGATAGGTACATTTTAGTAGACGAAAAGCACTGACGTTGTTAACACGATGGAAAATATTACGTGAGTGTATAGTGAAAAGGGCAATGTTTTGTTAGTTTTAAATAATTATACTTTTTAATTTTAATTATTATTTTATTAACTTTTTCATATTATATGATGTGTACTACGATTTATTATGAATTTTTTATTTCTATCGTTATAATTTTCATTTTATCCATACTATTTGTATAATATATTATATTTATTATTTATTATAAAATACAATATCATATATAATTGCAAATATCAAAATTTGATTTTATCATTTTATACTATTTTACATTATTTTTATAAATAATTTTATTTATTATTTGTATATTTTCCTCCCCTATTTTACAGGCTATATATTGTAATCGTGTATATATTAACATGTGAGGGCAACTGGTATATTTTAAAAATCCCGATAACAGCCGTTGGGGGCACCTGGTCAACACCCGTTCAAACAAAGACCGTTTATTCGGTCATAGTGGAATTTTAATTCGATTATTGATTGAACTCGTACACACGTTTTGTCGAGATCGAAAAATATTATTTAAACCTCATAATTCGGTATGCGTACGATGTCGTGTTCAAAAATTAATGTACGCGAATGCCGCAATAAATATTGGTGTATACGCGTAATCCACGTTTTGCGGTTCAACGGAAAAGCGCGCTTACCCGACTCGTGGGTGAACACGGCTTGGCAAACGGAACACGGCCACATCCTGAGTTGGGCGTATTGCGCCGTTTCCGGGTGGCACGCCAAATGTTTTCGTAGACTGCCCTCGTTCACGTAATGTTTACCGCACACCGGACACGGGTGGTTGGCCGTCCGGCGTTTGGCCATGTATGGGCCGGTGCCGATATCGGTGTAGCCTGCAACGGTTAAAGGGGTTAAAATCCAAACGCTGCGAAGCGGACGACGGTTTTTTTTTTTTTGTAAACGAGATTGCGCGGCGGAGGAAACGAATCAAAGAAAAACCGCACTCACTTTGGACAACGGCTTGCGACACGGTGGTCGGGTCGTTGTGGTGGACTTTCATGTGCTCGACCAGCGATTCGCTACCCAAGAACAGTTTGTGACAAAGCGGGCAAGACGTGGTGCTCGCGCCGCCCATCAACGCGGCGTGCTGTTGGAGCACGTCCATGCGGAGCTCGGCTTCCTGAAAATAAAAAAAATGTTCCTGAAAATAACAATAAAAACACGTCAGGTATAACCAGTAATCAGTGAGACCGGAAGTACGCGCGTGTTCCGAGACCATTGTTGGCGGGGGAGACGTACACCGCCTATACGGCACCGCCATTGCACGACGTGCTGTTCGTTTCGCGTGAAGAAACACAACACCCCGTCGTGATCGTCCCTTTGAGCGACACAAGTACAATAACGGTACAGGCCATTTGTTGCCGTCGATATGGCCATTTTGATAAAATTCCATTTCGTTCGTTACGCGTACACGCAAAAAAAAAAAAAAAAAATCAACCGCCAACCGGTTGTTGGGTGAACTTCAATTTGGATTTCGTTGTAAAACGTCTACAAAATGTCGCGTGGTAAATTTTTTAAGGATTTCTATTGTAAATTTAAATCGTTTTAATAATTCGTAATGACCAGTTCATCCCACCGTAAGCTTAGCTTTAGCAGATGTTATGTATTACTTAATTTAAAATATTTACTGTTAAATATAAAAAAAAATATATAAAAAAATTTATACATATAAACGATACGAATATACGAGATCTGACCGTAGTGGCATCGTCACCCCAAAACAGTATGTCGAAAATGTAAAATTTACGGTGCACGTCCGGGCGACGCCGATCTCGGATTTATCGTCGTACGCGTGCACTACGAAATTTACTGACCGGAGTTTATTGCCGGGCACAACACAATAATAATACGATATTGTGTAATCGTTGTCGTTATTATTTTTTTATATACGCACTGCGTACCGTTCATATGTATACTATGTGCGGGTACCATGTGCGCGATTAAAAATCATCCGAGAACGACACTGCGTACGGTTATTGCATAACGTGTACGAGTGCACATTACATGGTGTATAAATTCTGGCTGCGGGAAATATCGGCGCCTGGGGAGATGTGTCCGAGCAAAAAGTATAATCCGTGAACGGGGAAGGCGGGACAGAGGGTGGTGACGACGAGTTAAGAGGATAGCAATAAAACAAACGTAATTTTAATTTTTAAAAGCCTTTCCGACTACTTGCGGCCCGGTGACTTTTATTAAAAGTCCGTCTGCGGCGACCAAGAAGCGAAAATTTACATTTTTATTAAATATTTTATAAAGAAAGTATAATTTATCGGTCTGAGTGTTCTCGAAAAAGTAAGCGCTCTCCCGGTTTCGAGTCACCGTTAATAATTACTAGTGGTTTTTGCACGTGATTTGTATACAGCTTTCGTTACTGCAACTACGTATACCTACTCCGCTGCTATCCAGTCTTCGAGCACAAAACTTACTTTCATCGTATTAGCTTCGACGTTATCTAACGGTGCTTTATCACATTTTATCCCCGCGATACTATTTCAACATCATTATATTTTTTTTTTTTTGAAAACCGTTACGAAAATTAAATTCATAAACCGTTTCGTTTATATAAGGATTTTAACAGAACATAAAACTTCAGCAGGTATATTTATTATTATTCGCATCAACAATTGTTTCGAAGTTCTTACTACTAATCAACCGTTGACAAATAATTTGAATATTTAATGTTGTTTAGTTATTTTTATACGAGAAACCATAGCGCCACGTAAGTACACATTTACTGAATGGGAACGAAAAATGTCATTATTAAACATTAAATTCACCGTGACCATTACCATTTCCAATATAAACTTAACATTAATGCCGAATACTTTTACTTTTGCGTAAATGATTCATATACCTTTATTGCACAGAACTAATATTTTCTTCATGAATTTTATCGTTTCGTACACGTCAGCTACGTGGTGAATTAAATTATTTATAATAAACGACATACCGAATACTTGCAATCGTATAATTTACTAGAATATATACAAATATTATTAAATATTTATTTTACTATCACGCTACTTATAGACCGAGCCGTTTTAAATAATCTATTCGTGAAAAGTGAAAATTTGGTTCAAATTGAAAAGTAATTTAATTAAATATTAAAAATAAAATTACTACCGGGAAGAGAAGCGAGAAGAATATGCAATTATAATCCCTTGTTTCGCGAAAAACTACTTAAAAAAAATCATTATACTATATGTCTGTAAACAGCGTTTGCAGTGAAAGAAAGGATTATGTAATAATACGAGGGTGATGACTACGATGAAATTGGAAAAATTAATGGAATTCCAGTGCGTATAATAAAATAATAAGCAACATTGACCGTTCGGAGAGAAAAATATACTATAAATGTACTATACAAGAGTGGCGCAGTTGGTGCGCGCAATTAATAATATTCGTACAACGAATTACGAACGGATTGTCGTGTCATCGTGTAACAACACATAGACAATAATTGCAAGACGTTCACACGTAGCGGCGGCGATTGTTCGTGAATAATTAGGGAGGAAAGGACCACGGAGATGAGATCGGTTCGAATGTTTGGTCTTGCGACATTTCTATATTCGTATGCACTGGTAGGGCTAGACGATTAGGATTCGTACCGGTAAACGCGTGCCCGTCGCAGAACAATCACTACCTACTCGTCCCTCGCGACCCTTGACCGTCAGACCGGATCCGTCCCTGCGGCACGTAACGCAACAACAGCAGCAACACGGCGGGAGGGGGTTGCGTGGCAGAAAAATGCGGTTAAACTTTCCACGGTTTTTCGTGGCCGGCCGGTACCTCTTGCACGTCCATTTACGGAAAGTGGTCTCGACCGCTGTGCGCCGGCCGCGCAAAATTTATGGCCTCTCTCGTACGGAACATCACGTGCTCCTCCACCGTGTATCGTGCGACGGGCGTAGGTACTCGCGGCAACCCCCTGCCCCCCCAGTCCCGTCACCTATCTGCCGCCGACGCTTCCTCTCCACTCATCGTCCCATACCCTGTCGAGCGCCGGTCGTCGGTACATCGGCGGTGTCCGGCCGCTCGTGTTCGGACGGGAAAATAATGAACCGATCTGCCATTAAAAACGTTCAACAGAGAAATAAATAAAACCGCGCGACGCGTGTGCCGCGCGGGGTAAGAAAACGAAAACGCGACCGCGCGCGCGCCGGATATCGATCTTACGCGCATAACGTTTATTATGTATTGCCCCGCGGACAGACGCCGTTAAACGGTTATTGTTGTTCGGTCGTTCGATTTTTTTTTTCCATTCCCCCCCCCCCCTTTTCTACCCCGTACATCCGAACCGATTCGAAGCTGATCGCGTCCCGGGCGAAATACGAGCGCGGGCCGTGCGTCACACGAAGGCGCGACTTGTGCAACGTCCTAACGCGCGCGTGCGCCGCGCGCGACATCAATCGGAGTCCGTCGAATGACCGCGTTCAATAGGCATGCCGCACGGGTTAAATATTATTGCTCTTTTGTTGGGTCCGCCAACCATTGTCGTATTAATCCGACGGGCGGTAATCTATTACCGTTTACCGGCCGTTTTAATTTGGCCCGATAACCGCGTGTTTTGTGAAAAGAATACCAGCGGACTGTTTCGATTTCGTACGAACACGAGTTGATAAAGAAAAAAACCTGAACAGCAATTCGTGGTCGTTTGTTTTTAGTACGCGAGTACTTTCCGATCTTAATAACAATTATTACACACGCGTATGTACAGTAATTCCGTTGTAAGTGCATTCAATCAAACGACGAGACAACGTGTAATTACCTCCGACACTTGCATTATATTCAATGTGTCGTGTGTACCGTGCGCGCGTGTGTACGTACAAACTGTTTCAACACCTGCTGCGCGGGATGCACCGTGGCGAGCATATCGCATATAATTGTACGTGCATCCGAGAGAAATAAAAAAAAACCTCTCGTCGGTCGGGATGCATAAGAAATTAAAATAATTGTTTAGTGACAGGGGGGAAAAAAAACAAAAATGTAACCGTATAAAGGATTAAAAAAAAGTGCTTGGAAAAATAAATAACACGCCCACGTTCGGGTGAAAGAAAAAACCGAATAAACACCTGTATACTCGGAAATCAACAATCACTTTTTATTTATTTTTTTAGTTTCGATAAAAATCAACAGAAACATTCTTTCGTTTTGTTTTCGACAAGCGTTAATTTATTCCTGCGTCGAAAAATTAATCATCCAGCGTAAGATATGTAAATCGGTTCACCTGCTCGTATAAACGCCCCGGGAACCGTCATGATCTTAAGATTTACGAAAAGTTTGTATGTATAGTTAGATGTATGAAACATACATTACGTCATAAAAAAAAGATCTGTTGTCTAATTTTTGTGTTTTTATTTTATAATTTTCATTTTATTTACACGCGGAAGGGTCAAAACAGAAGTATGTTCATAAAAGGATGAACACAAGAAGGGTCAATAACGAAATACTCTTAATACCCTTTTCACATTTTTAATGAATATCGTCGGATAGTATACAGTGTTCTTTTTTTTATTACGTCATATTATTTTTATTCAACCCTTTTCATTCTAATTTACATTCGCGTTACACTTCACTGGATTTTTGCCCTATTAAACATTAAAAAATGATAAAAAAAATATAATTATAGGTGTATACATGCGAAACGAGAAAAAAAATCAAGTGCGGTCTAAACAAACCACGCTTTTGAGAAACAACCGATTTTTTTTTTTATACGGATATTGTATTGAAGTATCTTTGGTGGTAAATCAAAATATAATTGTACAAAATTCCATTGCAATGGCAACGCCAAGTTTAATGACCCGAGAGCGTGTTTATGGATGTTTCTATTTTTATGGATCGGTCACTTGGCGAATATAATGCAGAAATTCAATTTATACACCAACTCGCAGAAAAGTGTTTCGTGTCACGGCTGCAATTGAATAAACACAATCAAAACCGTATATTCATTTGAAAATTAATTTATACATATATTTATATGATAACAATACGCACGAGTCTTTTTATGGAATAAAAATAAAACATAAGGCAATAAACACTTTGGTTAGATCAAACATGACAATAAAAAAAGAAAAAAGAAGTGGAACGTTTTAAAATACGAAAACTTTTTACCCCATCGCGTTAAATGTTTTACCCTTTCGCTCGAAAATAAAGTTTGAAGCATAAATTAACAATAAATAATAATCAACGATCGTAAATGAAAGGTACCTTGTCTAAAGTTTTAAAAAAAACATGAAATGTCATCCTAATCGTATAAGTACTAAAAATTATGACTCGATCATTTTTCAAAACTTATTTTTATATGAAAATAATGTTAATTTGTTTTATGGTTTTTATGAGCTCGAATCTGAAATGTAAGGAAAACGTGTTCTTATTAAAAATTCTAATATCTTGTGTTTTCAAACGGTTCCTAACAGTAATAACCACTCTATTGAAATAATTATTAATGCAATTTGGCACACATTCTGTGCAATTGCGTATAAAATAATAATACACTGAAGAAGTTTTTTTTTGTATTTCGTGACACATACTTTTGGGTCCAATATTATACATGGCCGAGTAGAAAATCAAAATATCGTACATATACAAAGATACAAAATAACGTTTTCAAAAATAATGTATATAATGTATAAATATTAATGATATGAATCGAATATCGATAAACAGTGTTGAAAATAATAAATAATATAATCGAGGGTTAAGTTAAATTGTACATTGTTGTATACTTTAATATTAAAAAAGAAAAAAAAATGCTTTTCTAAAGTCAGTTTCAAGACGACGATACCGACGGTGGCAACAGCAGTGGCGGCAGAACGAGAGGGATCGAAAGAGAAATAAAGTCCATTTTTCGCAGTTTTAATTACAGCAGTGAAAATCGTAATGTGGCAGATTTGAAGAAATAACAAAATTAACTAAAAATATAAGATGTCCGTAAGAATTAAATCCTTTTCGCCTGCTTTTTCCCATTAACTTTTCAAATAAGCCACCGGGTTGTCGCTATATTTCATTGGCCGCTCGGCACTATCCGCTGTTCTACACACCCTCGTCACCCGATCGAATGTATATAATATGGTACGCACCCGTGTAATGCAATCTTGATGACAATGACGACTATATACATTATATATGTGTGTATATATGCATGTATATAGGAGTACGTAGTAAATTATATAAAATTCTATAACGAGAAAATATTATTGCAGCGGTCGTTATCGTGACAAAGCGATTAAAATGTACGTCTGAATATTTGCTGCCGCATATAATAATATATTATACCGCAATGTACACATTGTAGCATGAATTCACCACGTGAGCGAGAGAAAAAAAAAATAGTACTATCGAAGAAAAATCACACTAACCTACATCTATCTACTCGACGTAGCATTAGTTATAATTGAATTTCATCTCCGTTGCTATTTGTATCCTCACGAACAGAAATTATTGCACTCGCACACACGTACACGCCATCGGCTATGACGTCATAGGTTACGACGACGATGACGACGACACAGCGAAGGTCATCGTTATCACCGACGACGTCGAGGGATAAAATAACATACCGGTGAAAATCCTCTTAACCCCAAAACTGGGTCAATGTCGTCCGCCTTCACCACCACCACCACCACCACCACTACCTTCGTCGTCACCGCGGTACTTATACTTGTGCGTAACTTTTTCGAACGTTTCGATCGGCTATCGTAGCATTTGGTAAGCGACGGTTCGATTAAACCGACAAAATATTGTATGCGTAATTTATAGTAACGTAATTTCGTAACAATACAATAATAATGAAATAAAAAAACGTGATCACGGAACATATTTTTTAATAAACCTTCGACACCTGCTAGAAAACCTATATATTATTACTGCTACCTGTTTCGAAGTGGCGGTGCATTACCTATACACCGCATCGATAATATATGCCTACGCACACGTAACACGTGCGCCCTGTTCGACAGAAATAATAATAATAATAATAATAATAATATTAATAATCGCGTCTCACCTTAGCCGTGTGGGTGCGCAGACTTGACTCGGTAGCGAAACCCTTGCCGCAGATGGTGCAGTGAAACGGCCGGTTTTTGGCTCTCTCTACTTGGGCGTCGTGGTTTCGGAGATGTTGCTGCAGGTTGGACAGCTGTATGAAAGCTCGTCCGCACTCGGCCAAATGGCATCTGTATGGCCGTTCTCCTGTAAACAATAATAAAACCAATAAATAAATAAATATAAATACCATACGAACGTATAAGTACGTCGCGTAATATATAGGTAGGTACGTTGCAGCAGCAGCAGTAACGACGGCAATAATACAAGAATAATAGTATAAATGTGTTGGAAGAAAACAAAAACGAATAGAAAAATAATAATAATAAAAAAAAAAAAAATGCCACCATAACCGGTTATGTGCGCGTATATAGGAGCAGAGGCCGTTTCATATGCAAATACACGTTTATAGTTGCGACGTACCAGTGTAACGTGTAACCCGCGTGGCGTCTATACGCGAGTGTGTGTACTGTGCCGTGTACTAACCGGTGCAACGATAAATGTGGTCCTTTGCGGAAGGAAGAGCCGCTATTGTTTTAACGCGTTCGCGCAATGTCATCGGACTATTTTTTTCCCCTGTAGCAGTCGTATTCGTTATTATTCTATTTTTTTTTTCTTCCCTTTTTTCGTTTTTAACGCAGTTCCTAACCCGCCGTGAGTGATACGCTCACCACTACCTTGAGAACGAACGCGTACATCCAATTAGATATTCTTTTGTTACTTTTTTTGCCGACACGTTATGGTAATTTTACCCGGATATGTGCGTTTTTTTCGCTAACAAATATAGTGATTCCCCTTTCGTCTTAACCCTTTTTGTTACTGCAGCCTGCAACGCGATCCCCGCGGTTGCTTTTGTTTTAACGCGCGAGTTTTTCATTTGATTCATTTAATTTTTTTTTTTTTCAATTTTTTCATACACTTGGCGCGTCTTCCGTGAGAGTATATTCATTGAAATAATACGGTACGAACGAAGTAGGTATGTTTAAATGCGCTATGCGCGCATACAAAAGCTATAACACAACATAAAGGTTCTCGGTGTAGAACTCGAAACCAACTCGACTCATCTGCTATACTGTATAGTATAATGTGTATTGTTGTTGGGGTACCTACGATTCGGGTGAAATATGTACTCGCGTGTGAACCAAGTTGTACATAATACATGTATATTTTTTTATTTATCGTATTTATATTTTATACTGCGAAAAGCTTTTTTCCGGGGGCAGATGGGGTAAAGGGTTTGCATGATAATATATTTTATATAATCACGCGTTAAAATGACGTACATACGGCTACCAGGACAGACGTGATCGAGGACAGTGTAATAAAAACCGTGCGGAGCGAGTGGATTTTTCCCTGAACGATTTTCCGAAAAACGGCATAAAAAATATACTATACATATAACGGCGTATAATACATATCCATATAATGTCACGAGATTTATGTACCGAAACGAGTGGACACATAAATCGCATCGTTCATATTTTTCGCCGGGGTGTTTTTTTTGTCCAATTCCCATCGGTTTTTTGCGTGTTTTCATTATTATAATATTATTTACAGTCCCTGGCATCGCGTTGTTTTTTTAGTCAAAAAAACAATTCGGCTCCGCTAGAATGATTTAAAACACTGGGGTCCACAAAAATACAAAATAAAATTATATATATACATAGACATCGAAATTCATATACGTCATCCTGTCGATTGCTCGCACGCACCACGGCTAATGACAATGGTATTTTTTTGTTTATTGTCCGGTCCTGTCTATACATAAATATAATACAAACACATATACATATATATGTATATATGAGTATAAACGTGTGGCAATATTATTATTATATGCATGTGTGTGTGTGTGTGTGTGTGTGTATAAAATTTAAAATTAATTTTATATAATAAAACGGGCTGCGCCAGGTATTTATATTACTCGTGTGTGTGTTTAATCGGACAAAGTGTAATAATTATAATAATAATAGTAGTAACAGTAATAAATGTAATAATCAGCACGGTGAAATGTTTTTAGCGGATGGGTAAGTGGCAATATTACGGTCGATGTCGTTGACTCTTGACGTATTTGTTTTGTTTTTCCAATAAAAAAAAATAAATAAATAAATAAATAAACTTTTCGAAGAAAAAAAAGTTCAGTAATTGTTTGCAGAAAGCGACTTCAATATAAATAATTGAATTTAGTCCCTTTTCAACCCTTTGATGGGATTAAAACGGAGAAAAAAACCTTTTATTATTGTTGGCGGTCGCACGGTAGTCTTTTGGCTGACCTTTTTTTCTCGTGTGGTTTTTAATCGTTTAACCGTGTGGTAAACAAATGCTGTACAATCTCAGTGGTCAATCCAAATATATCGATGAATGCATTACACGACTGACCATAATTAGTTAAACGCATATAACTGTTTTTTTTTTTTAAAAAAAAAAAAATTTGGCCGAGAAATATATTTTTACAACTACACAGTTATAACTGCATTTTAAAATCGTTATCTTTACCGCATTTATATAATTGTATAGCTGTGTTGTTTCGTGATATTTTTTCCTACATCGAACGTGCTGTGCAATAACATCATTGTGCGCCCGCATAAATTATAGCAATATTGATTAATTGTACAATAATTTGATAGAGTTAGAAAAAAAATCGGAGCTGAGTAAACACAACGTGGAGTTAATCTACGTTGTACGCACCGATAAGAGTATATCGTTTTGTGTGATGTGCACTACTCGACCTTTTAACATAACCTAGCTGACTACGAGGACTACGGATAGCCATTCGTAATCACCTTGAAAGTCGCACAACGGTATCGAACCGGTGTGTATCTACTACCCAATTCTTGAATTCGATTTCTGTTCGGGAATAATTACGGTACAACAATAACGATATGGATTTCGTGCGCACGAACAGAACCGTAAAATATTGGTAGACATTGTTTTGTACGGCCGTTTTCACATGTACGTACGCACATAAATCGGACGGTATAGAAAGAGAAGAAAATCGGTTAAGATAAGCGGTACACGTTTGTGAGCGGGTTGGGTGAATTATTTTTTTTTTCACGATGCGTGCCCATGTCCAATAAACGTCGTTTCGTGTCCATAAACGGCTTGTTTTCCGTTAACATTCTTACGACCGCAGCGCGCGCGTACACGTAACGAGTCGCGAAGATAGCAAAAAATAAATAAATAAAAATATCGTATCGAGTAGCCGCAAAGAAATCTTGTCGATATGTATAAGAAAATAAAAATAAAAAAATAAATATAAAAAGTCGATTTAATCCACGCGGAACGTGACCGATAATTTATCGCCTCGGAGTGTTCTGCTGAATCTACATACTTAATGAACTTTGTCCACTTTTTCATTAACCGACGTCTACAGCGTAGCGTTGATAAATTCTACTGTAAATCATCGTATCCCGCGCGAGGAGGTAGACCTGAAGTGACCCTGTTCTGTTCGGAGACACTTTCTACGCACTATACGCACATGACGCGCACACCGACCGGCCGCTGTTGGACTTGGAACGTTGCCCGATAACACTCTCTTTGCAATCGTAAATATATTTCACGTTGTACGTGCGCGCCTAGTGATAAAATATGAGAGCCGAACGGCATAGCATTGTAAAACGCGGTGCGAACGCGCAGGGTTTTTTTAACATTTTTTTGATATTATCTACACAGCTCTACGACGTGTTTGCGGATATTTATCGACCGAACGGTTTCGGATCGAAAAAATGTTAACGTCTTACGCACGTATCGGTTGTGTTTCAAACTTTACGTGGAGCCTCGAAGCGAATCGTTCGATTCCCTGCATCCCTGTACACGGCACGATGCGCCGTGTGCACATCATTTTCCGCGAGCACAAACAACGCGCGCGAAAATCATTTTGGTAATAATCGATCGATTTGCCGACGGCAGTTTAAACGGCGTAATTTCTAACAACGATTTTGTCACTTCCAGAAATACGTGACCGGAATCCGATCACACAGTTCCATGTCGTCTACCCGAAGAAATATTGTTATTATTATACGGAAAAAAGGCTCAGTTTTTCCGGACACTTAATAATATTGTATCGCCTTTGCTTCGCTTCGTTTATATGCTAATGACCGTGCGGCTGATGACAACAGTGGGTGTGAACAAGGCTCAGAAAATTAACTGTGTTAGATGATATAAAAAAAGAAAAAGAAAACTTAAATACTCGCCACCACCTTAATATCGTGACCCTTTTACGGAAATTAAGTGCGTACGTTTTGCGTGCGCGTTTCAACTTATACTTTTTTTCAACCCTTCCCGGCAACGCAGCAGGTATCGTCCACTAATGTCTTTGGGTTTCCTGGATTAAATTGGCCTTTCGAAAAATGTGTATAAAAAAAAAAAAAACGATTCTATTTCCCCGTTATTATTATTATTTTTTTTTCCCCGGTTAGCATATACACATTAATGAACGTTATACTCGAGATATAGACAATAGACGGAATAAGTGAAAACGAGTTAAAACAATAAATGGAAAACCACAATTTCATGTCCGGCACGAGTCACCCGTGTAAAATACGCTGCCACTGACGCCACGTGCCAACACGCCGCGGCGGCGAATAAACGTGTAACGCATAGACAAACGCGTTGACCAATAGTGAAATCGCTAGCCACGGCTAGACCAAACCCATTTTCGCGCGGCCATCAATGCAGCAATTTAAACCCCACCGCGAGCACTGCGGCTTCCGCAGCCGCCGACGCTGACACCGCATCCGACGATGACGACCGTCCGAAAGGGTGTCCGCCACTGCCACATCCACTTTGTTCTCCCCACCGGCTCTCTTTGCTTCGTCTAAAAGGGTCCACGGAGAGAATGACTGAGTGGGTGCGAGTGAGCGACTGTTTGTGAGTTAAAGCGAGCGAGAGAGAGTGGGAGAGAATGAGAACTACACACATAGAAATCAATAATGTTCCCGTTTGTTTGCCTTCTAGTAGAAACAATATCGATAGAAATACATTACGCGTTGCGTCTACGAGTTTAAAGTGTCAAAATATTACTATCAAATATCTAGTATAATATTATCGGTTTATGTAAATATTGATTTTGAACAATACGTGCGTGAACGGACGGTCGAAATTTGATCACGAAATTTGAAAGACAATACGATTTTGCACTGCAATTG